ATACATCAGCTGGTGGCGAGTGCTATAGAGAAACAGCAGAAAATAGATACAGGGAAGGAGTGGAGTAGGGTGAGATTTATAGCTTAAAGTAAGGTATTCAGGAAAGGTATTCATATGCAGTTGGTATTTCAGCAAAGACATAAATTCTGTGAGGAAGTGGAACTTGGGAGAACTAGCAATCTCACAAAAGTATAAAAATGTCTGCAAGAAATTTAAGCCTTTTAATTTATTTCAAAATTTGGTATAAAATATTGATAACATGATTTTCTTAGGTTATCTATCCATCTTCTTAGACATCTGCTTAAAACATATTCAAATTATCCACATTTTAAAACCCTTACATATAGGGAGAATTTAACTCATTAATGCTAAAGTCTAATTATAACTCTGAAAAAGTTATTTTGGAGGAAGAACTACTTAGAGCATATAGAAGTGTGTCAGGCCAGGTCTCACTAATGCAGGCCTCCATAATAACTGTTTCAGTACTGACTGAGTGGTTAAGTTAAATATTAAAACCCAGTGCCCTTGTACAAAGGCTGGAATGTAACACAAGCCCATCAAGAGTTTTGCCTAGGCCTTTTTTGGGCCTTAAAGCATGACAAAATAATGAAGGAATTCTTAGCAGTACCCATTAAGGACAAAAAAGTTTTACTGTGAGTCTAAAGAAACTCCCTAGGCCTCCATAAACAAGTTTATTGGGGATCTGAAGGAACTCCCCACACCTCTATGATTTAGCAGGAGACAAGATAGGGGTAATCACCCCAGCACCTGGACCCATTTAGATGAAGTAAATTTACTGAGGCTCCAGAGGAAGCCTTTCAGGACTCAGACATTAGTTATAGCTTAAATTAAGTTAATCACTTATGTCTTTAGATGAATGCACACTTACATGTAGACATAGAGCTTACATGGTATATAGCTTAAGGTATACAAGCTCTGGAAAACTGAAATTTTGAGTTGGTCTGGCGATAATTTCCAGGCTTTCTCCCTGTAACTGGTTGCAGAAATTAAAACTCTCTTCCTCCCCAGTTCATCTGCATCTCACTATTGGGCCACGAGAAATAGCAGCCTGATCCTCAGTTTGGTCTGGGAACAGAGGTAAATACTAGCTATTTGTAAAATATGTCATAAAAATCTGAGTTTTTGTGAGGTAAGGGAGCATATTTTACGAATATCTGAGGAGAGTATTCTAATGACCAGAAGCAGCAGTACAAAGGTGGGATGGTTTATTAGTCTGTCTCATACTTTTAATAAAGACATAACTGAGACTGGTTCATTTATATAAAGAAAAGAGGTTTAACTGACTCACGGTTCAGCATGGCTGGGGAGGCCTCATGACAATCATGGCAAAAGGGGAAGCAAACATATCCTTCCTCACATGGCAGCAGGAAGGAGAAGAGCCTAGCAAAGTGGGAAAAGCCCATAATTAAACCATCAGATAGCATGAGAACTCACCCACTATCACGAGAACAGCATGGAGGTAACTGCCCCCATGATTAAATTACCTCCCACTGGATCCCTCCTACAACACATGGGGATTATGAAAACTACAATTCAAGATGAGATTTGGATGGAGACACAGCCAAATCAAATAAGATGGTGAATGGTGATTCCCAGGTATGATTGTACCTGATCGGCTCCACCAACAATAGGGAGGCCCCTGAGGCTGGAGCAGAGGTAGTAAGAGCAGGTAGGTAAGAGGTGAGATGAGAGAGTTGGGTCTGATGGAGCATGACCCTCCAGGCCATTTAATAGTGTTGGTTTTATTTTGAATGAAATGGGGCCATGCAGAGTTTTGAGTGGAGAAACACATGATAACCAGTTTGCACAGGACCACTCTGGCTGATGTCCTGAGATTAGCCACAGAGAATAAGTAGATGAGCAGAGAGACTAGCTGAAAGTCCATTATGGTGATGTAGGCCAGAGTGATGTCAGCATAAATGAGGGCAATGAGGGGGTGCTAAGAAGAGGTTGACTCAAGATTTACTTTACGGTAAGAATTAAGAGGATTTTCTGATGGAATGAGTAGGGGATGGGTGAGAGAAAAAGAGGAGTCAAGGACGGCTCCAAATTGTGGGTAGAGGTAACTAGAAGAATAGAGCCTCCATTAACTGAGATGAAAAGACATTGAGAGAAACACATCTATGGAAGGGATGAAATTCAAGTGAAGATGATTAATATGAGCTTGGAGGTCAGAGGAAAAGGCCAGGCTAGATATATAAACTTGAAAGTAATGAGCACATACATGGTATTTAAATTCATAGAATTTGAGTAGAATTCCCTAGGGAGTGAATAAGAAAAAGAGATTCAAATTTGAGCCTTAGAGCCCTCATGTTAATAGGCCTTGGGATATGAGAAGAAATCAGCAGATGATAAAAGGGAGCAGCCAATGAAATAGAAAAAAACTCGGAAACTGCAGAAGTGACATAAAGTGTACTGAAAAGCAGGAATTGATCAACTATGTTCATTGCTGTTGTTGAGAGATTAAGAAAACAAGGACTGAAAACTGACCATTAGATTCACAAAAGGAGATCAATCACCAGAGTCCTGGCCGAGAGCACATCTTGTGGAGGGATAGAGTGAAAACTTGAAGGAACAAAGTTCGTGAGTGAATAAGTCAGGAAGTAGCATCTATGAGCTGTTTTTAAAAAAAGAGAGCCAGAAAGGAAGTGAGTTCAACAATTTTTTTAAAACAGCTTTATTGAGATATAATTTACATTTCATAGCCTTGTTATATATCCATTTATTTATTTTGAGTTAGGAGAAATAAGATCATGCATGCATGCATTTATTCTGGTGAGAATAATCCAAGAGGAGGAAAACCTTGATGATGTGGATGGAGATGAATGAATTGCTGGCATAACATTCTTGGATGGAATCCAGTATACAAATGAAAGAGTTAACCTTTGACAGTGGCACAGAGAGTTCATCTGGATAAATAAGAAGGTAGGTAGAGTTTGAGGAGAAAGCTGGTAGAGTTTTCTTTGGACAGCTTTTGTTTTCTCAGTAAAACTGGAAATAATGTTATTAACAGAAAGGGATGTTGGGAAAGAGGTATTGGATGTTGGAGAGGAGAGAAGATATGAACTAGAAGAGCCTGACAGCAAATGGACTAAAAAAATAATTACCTAGCTGTCTTAAGGGTCCTTTTGGGGTAATGAATTTAAGATAGACAAATTAGCATATTTTACCCAGTTGTGTTCATCTGCATAGTGTAGTTGGGAGCAGGAAAGGGTTTCATTTAAGCCATGGTTAGGTTTGTGCCAAGCAAGTGTGATGAAATGTTCCCCTATTCTCTTAAGCAAAAAGTAGTCTCACCTTCCTCGGAGCTTCCATAGCATTTCTCTTCAATCTTGCATATTGAAATGTTCTATCTTGCATATATTCTTGTTGCTCAACAGCCCCTAATAACTTTGTATCATTCTAGTCTCCTATGTGTTTAAGCCTACTGTGAAGCATATAGCAGAATAATTGCGTCATAATGATAATCTAAAAAATAGGTTTCCTGGGATCAAATCTTCACAATGAAGTCATGTATGATAAAGAAAAGAACACCATCAATGGCAGTGTTACTGTAAGTCTTATGTCTCAAAGTATAGTATAGCTCCCTCTGAAATATGCTTTTTTCTATATTGGAAAAAAGTCTTTTATGAACCATCTTTATGAGTTTGTGAATCATTGAAAGAAACACAGCTGGGCTTTGTAAAAATGACAAAATCAGTGAGTCAGTCTTTAGTCTCTTTAACCTTCATTTGTTACCTCTTTCTCTGTTCTTAGAGTGAGTCCTCCTCTCTAGCACTAAAATGTCTATTGTTTACCATCTCCAAATGCCTGACTCATAGAAAAAGCTCTGATACTCATACTGGTGTGAGATTTAATATTGCGTCACCTTCAGTAAATGCGCCACCTTAACCAGGCAAACGCAATTAAAATGTTCAACTGTAAAATTCCGTGCCCTTTCAAAATAATTTAAGACTCAACAAATAAACTAAACAGATTTGGCCGGCCAAGGAGCATGTGTAAAAGCATTCAATATGTATTGGTTGAGGCCATCAGAAAAGGTACAAATTATTTATATGTTTTTAATTAGTTGAGTAATGAGTGGATAAAGGGGAAGAAAAAGGATGTTGGTCCATACCTTTCCCCCTTTCCTGGATTCTTCTGCTTTCCTGGGGAGAATAAACTAAGGACTGCTTTCACTTTAGCTGCTGAAGTCTTCTTGGTAGCAACTGGGAGCAGATGAGGAGCAAATGGCATCATCGAAGCTGTGGAGTTGGCCTTTCCTTTTTTTAAGTCCACCTGACTGGCAAGAGAGATTCCTTCATTGTTAATCCTCTCTATCCTGCTCATAATAGGCAAGACCAGAACTTCTTTGAGATTCTAACTTGAACTTCTCTCTTTACCCAGAATATCTAGATACATATTAATGGATGGTATTTTCTATTTACATTTGTTTTTGTCCTAAAACATTCTTCTTATGTTGTTTCCATTTTAATGTCTTTCTACTTATTTATATATGTTATTGTAAAATAAAAACTTGTATCATTAGAGTCTTACATATCCTTGTGAACAATAAAGCTGTTACCATACATTTATACATCTTAGTACATCTATACCTATACTTATGCAATAGTTCTATATTTTTTCTAAGAAAATGCCTAATAACATATTGATAAGTAAAGAGTTCTTTGTTTCAAAGTAGGTTAATGTTTAAAATACATTTTGTTGTTAAGGGAAAGACAATCACAATATTTGAGTTTCTTGAGGTATTAAGACTTCTGCAGTGATTAATAGAGGACAGATAAATGTCTGTATCCTCAGCATATTTGGTTTTTAATCCTGGGGCTTTTAGTTCCTGGCTTTGCTGTTTGCACAGGGCAGCAAGAAGGCATGTTCTGGGTTTGATATAAGCTGGATTTGGTCCAAATACAGGATGTCGCAGGAATAAGGCACTAAACTGACTGAAAATAGATTTCATTTTTGACAGGCTATGACATTTACCTTTGCTGTCTCATCACCAAGTTCACCACACCTAGCCAACGATGACAGACAGTGGGATGAGTGGGTATAAAAACCAAAGTTACAGCAGCCCTTGTGGACCTGTCTCTCCAGAATGACTATCTTCCATTTCTAGGTCCCAAATCATAATCATGAAGTTGATCTTATGGTACTTGGCTGTGGTACTTTGCTTCTGCTGCAAAGGTAAGAAACATTTAAAGAATTCTTTCCAAGGTGATGGACCCCACGTATATATTTGTTTCATTGTTTGTGTTCTCTACCTCAAACATTTTTCTTCCTAGCAATCTTTCTTACACTACACTTTAGAGTAGGATAAGAAACTGGATTTTTCATCTTAGTATTACTTCAGCTTTAACAACCCAGTCTTAAGGATGTGTATACAGGCATACCTTGGAGATATCTTTGGGTTTGCTACAGCCATAAAGTGAATATTGCAGTAAAGCAGGTCACACAGTTTTTGCTTCCCAACATGTGTCAAAGTTATGTTTACCCTATACTGTAGACTAAGTGCACAATAGCATTATGTATAAAAAACTATATCTATACCTCAATTAGAAATACTTTACTGCTAAAAAATGCTATGATCCTTTGAGTCTTCAGGAAGTTGTAATCTTTTTGCTGGTGGAGGGTCTTGCCTTGATGTAGACTGCTGCTGAGTACCCAATGTGGTGGCTGCTGCAGGCTGGGGTGGCTGTGGCAATTTCTTAAAATAAGAAAGCTATGACATTTGCTGCATTCATAGACTCTTCATTTCACGAAAGATTTCTCTGTAGCATGCAATGCTGCTTGATAATATTTTACCCTCAGTAGAATGTCTTTCAAAGTTGGAGTCAGTTTTCTTAAACCCTGCTACTGCTTTAGCAACTAACTTTATCTAATATTCTAAATCCTTTGTTGTCATTCCAACAGTGCTCACAGCATCTTCATCAAAAGTAGATTTCAATTAAAGAAACCACTTTCTTTGCTCATTCATAGGAGCAATTTGTCATCTGTTTGAGTTTTCTCATGAGATTGCAATTCAGTCACCTCTACTTCTAATTCTAGTTCTCTTGCTCTTTCTACCACATCCGCAGTTACTTCTTCTCCTGAAGTCATGAACCCCTAAAGGTCATCCATGAGGGTTGGAATCAGCCTCTTCCAACCTATTTTAATGTTGATATTTTGGCTTCCTGTCATGAATCATGAATGTGCATCTAGAAAAGTGAATCCTTTCCAAAAGATTTTAAATTTACTTTGACTATATTCACCAGAGGAATCAAATCATTATTTATGGCAGCTATAACCTCATGAAATGCATTTCTTCAGTAAGAAGACATGAAAGCCAAAATTACTGCTTTACCTCTGGGCTGCAGAATGGATGCTGTGTTAGCAGCATGAAAACAACATTACATTCCATGTATCTCTCCAGCAGAGCTCTTGAACTCTTGTCAATGAACAGTAATATTTTGAAAGGAATTTTTTATACTGAGCAGTAGCTTTAAGCAATGGGCTTAAAATAGTCAATAAACCCTGCTGTAAACAGATATGCTGTCATCTAGACTGTGTTATTCCATATATACAGCATTGGAAGAGTAGATTTAGCATAATTCTTAAGGGACCTAGGACTTTCAGAATGGTCAATGACCAGTGGTTTTAACTTCAAGTCAGAAGCTGCATTAGGCCTAAAAAGAGAATCAGCCTGTCCTTCCAAGCTTGGACACCAGGCATTGACTTCTCCTCCCTAGCTATGAAAGTGCTAGATGGCATCTTCTTCCAATCGAAAGCTGTTTTGTTTACAATGAAAATCTGTTGTTTAGTGCAACCACCTTCATGAATTACCTTAGCCAGATCTTCGCCTCTGAACTTGCAGCAGCTTCTCCATCAGCCCTTGCTACTTCACTTTGCACTTTCATGTTATGGAGACAGCTTGTTTCCTTAAATTTCATGAGCCAACCTCCACCAACTTTAAACTTCTCTTCTGTGGCTCCCTTACCTCTCTCAACCTTCTGAGAATTGAAGACAGTTAAAGCCTTTTTCTGGATTAGAGTTTGGCTTAAGGGAATGTTGTGGCTGGCTTAATCTTTCCAGGCCACTCAAACTTTCCCCATATCAGAAATAATGCTGTTTTGCTTTCTTATCATTCATGTGTTTGCTGAAGTAGCACTTTGAATTTCCTTTAAGAACTTTTCTTTTGCATTCACAAATTGGCTAAGTGTTTAGCACAAGTGACTTAGCTTTCAGCCTGTCTTGGCTTTCCACATGCATTTCTCAGTAACCTAACTTTTGATATTAAATGCAAGATCTAATGATATTAAATGAAAGATCTAGTGATATTAAATGCAAGATCATTTCTCACTTTTGATATTGAATGCAAGATCTACCACTCTTCACTTGAACATTTAGAGGCCATTATGGAGTTATTAATTGGCCTAATTTCAATAGTGCTGTGTCTCAGGGAAAAGGGGGGCCCAAAAAGAGGGAGAGAAATGGGACCAATGACCTGTTGGTAGAGCGGTCAGAACATAAGCATATATTAAGTTTGCCATCTTATTGAGCATGGTTTGTGATGTCCCAAAACAATTATAATAGCAATATCAAGAATCACTGATCAAAGATCACCATTACAGGTATAAGAACAATTAATCTGAAATATTGTGAGAATTATGAAAACATAATTCAAAGACCTGAAGTGAGCACATGCTGTTGGAGAAATGGTGTCAACAGAGTTGCTAGTCACAGGGTTGCCACGAATCTTCAATTTGTAAAACACGCAATATATGTAAACCTCAGTAAAGTAGAGCACAATAAAATGAGGCTTGCTTTTAAACATATGCTTACACATTTACATATATTTGTTTTTAGCAACTGCCTAGAAATATTACTAAGCAGGTCACACAAGATACATGTAGGGTTGTTCGTTACTCCTTTTCATGTTATTCAATTTATACTTTGGTGGTTCTACCCAGAATGCATATCCATGTTAAGACTAAAGATACAAACAAGTAATCATGTTTTTCACAATCAATAAATTATTACCATGAAAAAACTGGATCATCATCAAAAGCAACACTTCTTAAACTAACAATCTTCCTGGATATTTTAGAAAGTTCATTAATTAATTTCAGAAATTAATTTAAAGGCAAGATGTCACTCATTTTGAGAAAAATTACACATTAAGCAAAATGAAAATGTCATTAGAAACAAAGTTTGTTCTGTTTCTGAAAAGGGAAGAAAAGATAACATCTAAACATAAAGGAAAAAATCTGCAAAAAGCAGGAGATTTTATTTTAATATCTAAACTTAAAATCTATTCTTTAAATTTGAGAGTAGAATACAAAACACACATTTTACTTTTCTCTGAGATGCCAGAATATAGAGGATTGCGATTATTTCTTATGGTTAAGAGAAAATATTTCTACGTTTAATTCAATTATCTGGGAAATTATCTGATGAACCATTAGAAAAAGATTACTTTGTGTAATGGTGATTTTCATAATCTTACATAGTGCTTTGCTATATTCTTTTTTCCTATTGTATAAACCTGTTTCTTGTTTCTTAATAAATGGGGCCCGGAGCATATTATTTTCAAAGCATTTATTAAATGATGTCATATAACCATAACAATAATTTTAAAGGTATTGATTAAAGCATATTAAGTTTATTGAAGAATCGACTCATGTTTCTAAAGTAAATTTCTATATATCCATCCATTATAGTTCTGGAAAATGATTATGAGTATTTCAATAGACTTTCCATAGAGAGGTGATTTATAAACAAGATTCAGAGATTTTATGTATTTATTCATGATGTCATAGTGAGAACTAAGAATCATATTTGGAAAAAACATTCTAGTTGCCTTATTTGAAATAAATTTTTGTTGCTCTTAGTCAATGAGATTTATGTTTCAGATATGGACTCCCTTCATTTTCAGTAGGTTACAGGATAACAGCTTGGGGCCTGGAAGTTGCTAAAGGCAAATACTTAGGCAGTATCATATAATCGATTGGAAAAAACGTTTGCATTGTTTAACCAAGCATAACTATACAGAAAAAAAATATTGACAAACAATTTTCTGGTAGTAGAAGAAAAGCAGACATAGAGACACAGTTAAGGCATAAAATAAATATGCATAATCTAGTTTTATTTTTCCTCAGGCTATTCTATATCCTCATTAAAGTCCAAATAATTGATTTTGTTCTTTTATTCTTATTTCTTTTTTCTCTAATTCACTGCTTATGAACACATTACCAAGAAAATGTTTAGGGGAAATAAAAGCAGATGAAATTTAGATCAGGAAACATACTTTAGATCAACAGCTGCAGTTGTGTGAAAAAGATATAAAATACTGGCTAATGTTAATTTGTGAGCTTAATTTATTTGGTCAGGCATATTTTCAAGTCTGAGTTAGTATTGAGAATTTTGATATCAAGTATGCTGGTAGGTAAATGTGTTACATAGATTATTTCCTATTAAATATAAAAGCTGTGAAATAATAAATGAAGTATTACAGTTATCAGATATAAAAAATGGATTGCTTATATTGAATTTTAAGGAAGAATAAAAACAAAAGAATGTCTTTTTCATTGTCTTAAATATGTTATAGGGAATTATAAAGTAACTTTTTTGTTTGTTTGTTTTAAAAATAGATGTGGAAGCCCAAATTTACCGACAGAAATCAGGTCAGTATCTTTCAGGAATTAATCTTTACTTTGAAACATTATGCTGCATTGTGAGGCTGCTTTTGAATCAGAAAATAAATGCGCTTCCTACACACTTGGTTTTGTGAATGAGCTCCCATGTCTCCTCATTTACCCCACATGATTCTGAATTCCTTAAGGACAAGATTTTGGTGTATGCTGTTCACCTGATAGTCATAATGCAGTGGCTGCTATGGAGTGGGTACTCACTACATCTTTGTTTTAAATTAATAAAATAAATTGAGATTATCAATATAAGATTTCTTTGCCTACAAGCATTTTCTACATGAAAGTAACCAAATGCTTTGCAAGGTAAACCTTCTGAAATAAACCAAGAATACCCTAACTTCTTACCAAAGAACACAGGGGACTTCTGGAAATAGCTTAATCCTTTTTTGAGGACATGAAAATGCATAGCCATTATCATATTATAGTCTATATAATGATGCCCTTGTAATCTACTGACTTGTGTAAGCCAGTTTGTCCCTATTCCAGAGACGGTTTCTGAGTTTCTGTGTCTGCTTTTGATTTTGATTTCCCCTCTCTTCTGTTCAACAACTAGCTCTGTATTCTCATAGGATCATCATGTCTACTTCTAGCAGCCAGTTACAATTCTTACTTACTGTTTTCAGTCCACTGGGCTGAGAACACCATTGATCCAAGCTCATTAAGCCTTGTACCTGTGGTAAGGATGTGCACTCTGAGTGAGATCTCAAGAGATTCACTGTCCTGATGGGGACAGTGAATAAGCAAGAATTCATACATGCGCTTGATGATACCTCTCTATTTGCTGCAAGAGGATTTGGGGACAACTTCTTGACTGCAATCTGCACTGCAGATAATTAGAATTTTCCAGGTGTTTAACCTACATAGAGGATATTACTGTGCAGTTTTCTTTTGAAACATTTATATTAAATGTCTCCAAACCCCATTTGTAAGCCATTTCTTCTTAGCCTTTGGCTAAATATGTGTGTGTGCATTTGTTTGTGCAACTACATAAGATCTGGTTTTGATAACAATTTATGAGAACATATGTGCAATGCTTTATCTCTTAAATGTGCTATTTACTGTTTGTCTTAATTTACCCTTTCATCTCTGGGATACGTTTACTGATCATAAGTCCCAGATTTTCCTGAATTGGATTTTAGTTCCAATTTCTAAAAGTTTATCCTAGTATCAGACCATGTGCCTTGACTCTTTATTTGAATAATGTGGTCAGTTCGGGTTTAGAAAATCTTAAGATTATAGAGCATAGAGAAGCATTAAAAACAAACTGCAATTCTGTAAGTCTCCAAATAAAAATGTCACCGAAAACATCTTTAATATGTAATCAACATGCAACTTTATGCAACATTTTGTTGCCACGATTAAGTATTTTATTTCACATAATTATTAAGAAAATTCTTTTGGAAAGCAATGATTTGATTTAATAAAAATATTTTTATATTTGCAAATCTTAATAAGTGCATTTGTATGTAAATTATAATTTTTGTTGCAAACTACCCATTCTTATTGTGAGTTTTTGACTCAGCTGTACTTATAGCTTGACATGGCTGTACATTTACAAGCCATTTATTTAAGTATGGAGAAAATTTACCTTGATTTACAATAATGACATTTAAATAATTTGTAAGTCGTGTATACATAAATTTTAATATTCAGCTGTAAAATAGAAATTCTAGCCATTTGATTCAGATTAATCATAGTTTATTCAGTATTTTTGTCACATAAAAATATCTTAACTAAATCTTCTGTATTTTACTAAAATAATAATAATTAGTGTTTTGAAGCACCTTTTCAGGTATCTAAGAATTATTGAGTTTTGCCACATTCTAATTTATGCCGTTGGACTGTGCATGAGAGTGACTGTAATATTAGCCCAGACTTTCTCCTTTATGGGGGTATTTTGGAGAGGTAGAAATACGCCAATGGCTAATTACCATATTCATGCTTGAGTATTTAATTCAAAGAATGTATCTCTTTGGGAGTACCTCCCAATGACAGGAAATGGCTCTAATCAAGATTCACTTTCTACTGCTAATGATAGCAATTCTCCTTTTATTTCTTCAGGTGGTAAAATAGCTGCAAACAGGTCAGGGAAATACTTTGTTCTCTTTCCTTATACTGTTTATACTCAAAAGCAATAAGGTTGTAGTGCTTTGCTTTGGACACAGGGCATATCTCTCCTGGAAAAATCCTTCAAAAGCTTAAAATATAATCTCCCTTATTATTACAGACATGCTTTTATGTGTTTTTGTATAATCTGGGCCAGACATTTTAATCTTTGATCAATACTTACACAGGTGGTGAAATTTAAAATGGAAAATTGCTCTGGTATTTGCTTTTCTAGAATGTCTTAAACCTGCGGTAGGAAATGTGTACATGGATTTAAGGCTTTACTTTCCTCATTTTCATCAGCAGGACATGCTGTCATTTTTTTCTTCCAAGATTAATTACTTAGTGATCTGCTTTAAAATCAATCTAGTTTCAACAGTTTTACTAGATCCTGTCAGGTGATTAAATATCAACATTCTCCTTTTCTGTTTGTTTCTCTACCCACTGAAATGAAAAATGAGTCACAGCAAATCAACAAGACTGCTTTTATTAAGTTTTTCTGAAATCCAACGTTATTAAGGTTATTGCTAATATCAACTTAGATTCAATTTCATTCTGGCCTATTGTACACAGCAATTAAAATAGCACAATATACTTTCCTGTGCTTTTCTTATAGGACATTTTACATCCCTACCTTATTCTACAACATAAATAAAATGTAATTTTAAAATGTTTTCTTTGAGGGAAAACATAAAGCGAGATTAGGCAGCAGCTCAGTTGTGTCAGAAAGACAGCAAGATTATTTTTCACAGCCATGGATGGGACTCATTAAGTTCCATCACAGTGACATAGTAAGAGTTTGTCTACAAAATCTGGTTGATACTTTTATCGATGAGGGCATAAGAGTCTCCAGCATTCCTTTAGAAGCCCCCACTAAAAATGAGAAGAAAGTAAGGATACACTTAGGATTCTATAGTTCTCTGAAAGTTCTTTAAAATTCTGAGGAATTGAATTTACTCCTATGTGTGTCAGGGAACTTTCCAGGTCTGGTTATTATTTAGGAGGGACGAAGGGTTCTCCAAGGATAGAGCTGCATTAAGTGAATAAAAATGTCAAGCAAGGAAGCCCCCATTAAACCCTCAACCAGTCAACACAAAACTGGACAAACCACAGGGCATAGTATTCCCTCAAACTCTTCATTCTTCAATGAGATCGAGACTCACACGTTTGAGGAAAGGATTATAGGCCACTGCAGGACTTCGTGTTTTTTGATATCCACTGATTTTTACTGATGTCAGTTAACATAATTCATTCATTCCCATTACTTTAAAAATCTTCCTATCCACACAGCTGAATAATGTCCACCTCTCTTATTCAGCCTTTTCTCTCTATGAGGTACGGGTGAAGAAGCAGACTTATGTCTATTTTTCTTTTCTACTCCATTCTGTGGTTTAAAGTATAAGCTAAGCCTTCCAAAATGTTGTGCAAAATGTAATATAAACATTTTATTTATCCTTAAGTTATGAAGTAGATAAACATCTTATTTATCTTTGTGCAGTGTATATGTAATCTGTCTTTAAGCAAGATGAAGACAGTGTACACTTAAGAGCAAAAGATTTCTTGGCAGATTTTTTTAAACCATGTAATCTTGGACAAATTATTCAATCTCTTTGAAATATCTATTTTCTCATCTATAAATGACGAAGATTAATGGCACCTACTCATAGAATTGAGGCTACTAAAGCAATAAGGCATATAAAGTACTGTTATACAGATGTTGTACATTTCAAAAACATACTGACCATTACTCCTAGTAACTTCAGCAGTAAATATTTCTGAGCAAGTTTTATATAATAAAAACAAAAGGGATAAAATAAAGTTAATAAAGTTAGTGAAGACAGATGTGGCACATTGAATGTGTAGGATGCCAGGTCTACTCATTTCAACATTAGAATGAAGAAATATTACTCTAATAAAATGAAGGATCTAGTATATCTCTGGAGTTGAACTCAGGAGAGGTATGATGAGTATGAAGAACATATCACGAATTAAATAAGTGAAATAAAATGAATCTTAATGAGTTTAATGCAGTAAATTTGCTGAGGCAAGTCAAATGTATTGAAGGACAGGATTTATCCCAGTTGAATGTTGGCTGTGTGTAAGACAATGCACTAGGTGCATTCATCTCACTTAATATTCTCATTTAATTAATACTTCTATTATGAAGTAGATACTCTCTTATCCTCGTTTATTATGTACTCCCCATTTAGTAGATAAGAAAATTTTGTTTTAGAAATGTTAAATTGTTTATCCAAGGACAGGCCAGGAACAGAGAACACAGCCAGGGGCAAAAGTGCTATTGCAAGTGTATAAATAATAAAAAAGTTAGGTCGAGAATGGTGGCTCACACGTGTAATCACAGCACTTTGGGAGGCCGAAGTGGGCAGATGATCAGAGGTCAGGAGTTTGAGACCAGCCTGGCCAACATGGTGAAACCCTGTCTTTACTAAAAATACAAAAATTAGCCGGGCGTAATGATGGGCACCTATAATCCCAGCTACTCAGGAGGCTGAGGCATGAGAATCACTTGAACCCGGGAGGTGGAGGTTGCAGTGAGCCAAGATCATGCCACTGCACTCCAGCCTGGGTAACAGAGGGAGACACCATCTCAAAAAAAGAAAAATTACAAATAAAAGGAACAAAGTAGCACATAAAATGTGTTTCACCTACTTCAACAAAAATACATTCATGATAAGCTGGAATGCAGTTTCCTATGCAGAATATTTAGATTAATTGGAAGCCAATGAAAGAATAGGGTTCAGTGCCATAGCCAAGAAGGAGACTGGGCCTTCAATCTCTGGCATAGTCATACTGGGAGAGACAGCCCAGCGTTCCTCTATCAGTCCACTTCATACTGCAAACTGACC